GCGACCCTTCCGCGCCCCCCGGGAAGGCTGCGTGGTGTTCGCGAGAAATCCGCACACGCGCGACTCCAACCGAAACCCGAACCGAGTCTGGCAACAGTTTGGAGAGCGCGACTGAGCACAAGCTGTTCAACGCACCTTCCTTTCAACGGTGGACTTTCAAACTCCTGCGCCTTAAGACCACGCATCCCTTAGCGCCCAGCGCCGCCGTTCCCACGCTTACGAGACGCAAGCGCTTCCCGGGAGCCGCAGCGCTCCCGGCCAGGCGGTTCCCACGGCCCGCGCGCCCCGCGGCGTCCCGAGCCGCCCCGGCCCCTCAGGCCGAACGTGACCCCTTGCATCACTTAACCGACCAGTTTTCATTGGGGTGAGACTTACAACACTTTTATTCTCACCCAACTGCAAGTTCCAAAATTGACATCAAAACTAAAATAAAACCAGTCTTCTATTCGGTACCCACCAGACACCTTAGCCTTTTTAAAAATCACGGTGACTGAACTCCAGCAAGTTTTCATTTGATTTGTATCTTTTATTCAAAAAGTGCAGATAATCATGGAACAAACATTGGTCAACCTATCACCAAAAATTAAGAAATATTGACATTTTCCATTTTTGCTTCAGACTTTTCACAAGTTAAACATTACAGATAAACGTGAAATCTGCTTTTCCCTGTTTCACTTCCACCCCCTCCCCCATAGGCGACTTTTATTATGAATATTATAGGAATCATTCATGCCTATTTTTATTTACTTTTACCATGTTTAAATGTTTAAAGATGCATACATTTAGTGTTGTTGGGGGGGGGTAATTTAACTGAATGTATCATACTCTACTCTCCAAATCGCTTTTCTCATTCAACATTTTTTGATGATCTATTGTGCTTGAACTGTTACATGATATTTCGTTGAATACACATATCACAATGTTTTCATTTCCCTACTAATGGACATACATTTGTTTCGAATTGTTTCAAACTTTTACTGTTACATAAAGTATATACTTCTTTGAGTCTCCTTGTGCATATATGCAAGAATGTCTTTAAGATATCTGCTGGGTCATAGAGTAGTATTAATATTTGCCAAAACATACCAATTCACACCCTTGCTAGCAGTGATGAGTCCCCTTTGCTCCCCATTCTCACCAACACTAGATAGACTTCTACATCTTTTGCCACTGTGAAGGGTGATACTGTAATTTACATTTCCTGGCAATTAAAGATGATACATCTTTTCATGTTTATTGAACCTTATATCCTCTCCTGTGAATTGCACGTTCTTATCTTCAATAAAATTCACTATTGGACTTCCTCTCAAAGATGTGCTCATCTTCAGATAGCTTACTCTGTTCATTTAACTGGTGCCTATGTCACAAACGCCTTCTCCTAGGCTGACAATTGTATTTTTGTTTACAGGATTTTTGTTCTCTAGGTTTTCATTTCAACATAGTCAAATATATCAATCTTTCTTTTGTGATTTCTGCTATTTGTATCTTAAAAAAGCCTTCCTGAGATCATTAATTTTTTTAATTTTCTTTTTAATGGTTTTATAGTTTTGTTTTACACATATTTTTCTTAATTCGATTACTGCTAGGGTATAGTAACATTATTGATTTTTATACGGCAATCTTGTATCCCAAAATCTTGCTGAATTGTGTGACTCTAAAATTTTGTCTATAAATTCTCTAGGATTTTCTATGTAGAAAAAGTTACTGTATGCAAGCACTAATATTATAAAATTTAACAAACTTTTTAAACAATTAACATTTAACATGGAAAATTTCAAACAAGCACAGAGACAAGAAACTGACAACTGTAGAATTTCCCAGTCTGTGATTCTGCTGATTTTATCTTCATGGAAATGTTCCTGTAAACCGCCACTTAAATCTACAGGCTTGATTAGAGGTTTTTTGTTTATATTTCCTTGTTCTTTTTTGCAAGAATACTTCATAGACACTTCCTTACATTATATCAGGAGATACATAATTCCTAATTATCTCACTTTTAGAGAAGTCAAAATGTATCAGTGAGTTCAGCCTTTTTCTTTTCTAAGTCTTAAACCTACCCTTCCTCACATTTAAGTGCAATGGCTGGGACCTCTAGTACAATACTGAAGATGCAGGCAAAAGTAGACATTCTTTAACTTGTTCCCAACTTTAATGTGAAAAATTTAAGTTTCACCATTAAATAAGGTTTTTTTCCTGTAGATTTTCTTAAATACAAGGAAACTACCTTAAAACATAACTCCATTTCTTTTTATTACCTAATTCTCATTCCATGTATAAGTGTTCAAATATCTAATTAGGTCCAACTCTAACTATTAGTAATGAGTAAAATAAATTCCACTTTGCAGAGATCATGTTAAAATTCTACTCTGGACACATGACCTTCTCCAGGACTCTAACATATCAGGCTTAAAAGGTAATTGATTAGGTAGATGTTCGATATTTAGTTTATCATTCAGAACACACCTAACATTAATACATTGACCTCAGTAGAGTGCTTTAAAAGGTATCTTAAACACGCTTTTCTAAAAAGTTAGACAACTGGGATTCCTAAGCAGTAATAAGAAAACCACATTTTATCAGTGTTTTCCTGACAGCCTTTCCTTCCACACTTCCAAGAAAAATCCAGACATATGTAGATTTACTAATGTCTCCTGAGAGAAACAAATGTCAAAATATGTCCACACAAGACTGCTTTTCATGTCTAGAAATGAAATGTCTATTTAAACACAAGTTTCTAATTTTTGCACATACTTTTGTCCATCCAGACCTTAACATCACATAACACTGAAAAAAACAGAACTCTTTAAAATCTACAAAACAAAGAAAATATCTGGGTTATGGAAGATTTAATATCAAAGTATAATTTACATGATTAAAAAAGTTTTGATCTCTATACAAAGCATCTTCTTAAACAGTTTCCAAGTCACATCAAGTGACTTACGGTATCTTCTCTCATTTCAAGTGAAATGGTGATGGTCTATACACTAGGCTGCCACGAATGACAAGAAGCAAAGGTAGCACGTGTCATCGGCAAGTTTCTTCCCAAGCGATCAAATGTCACATGTTCATGTTTTTCTTGTTTGTGACCCCAAGCCTGGCAGCATTTTCGTTTCGTCCACTCTGTTTTTATGGATCTGAAGAGCAGGTGTCACCCATCTCCCACAGGAGCACTGTTCGCCACACCAACTGAAAGAGCCCAGCTTGGCGCTGCATTTGGGGCAAAGAAGCTGAAATAAAGCACATGTGTCATGGCGTTCATTCGCTTTTTCACAAAAGAATTATCCTTGGCAACAAAGGATAGAAAAACGAAACACAGCTCCCACCTTCAAAAATTTCTGATCTACTCAGTGACACGAAACGGAATGGCAATTTCCTGCACTAGATGGTGGACTGCAGCAAGTCAGAAGCACACTGTACCCTGGCAGGTAGCGGAGGAACAGAGTGATTCCAGCATGATGGGAGAAAGGTCAGCTTGAGCCAAGAAACAGAAGGTTTCATGGATGTGGCCTATGTGTTGGCTTTTAAATCAGTCTACACCTGATTTCAAACTAAAATCATGTCAGGATTCTCACGTTCTATCACTAATTAACAGCATATAAGTTAGGCCTCAGAGTCCCATTTAAAAGCAAACTGATGTTCCAAAAGACAATCCAAAAATGTTTAACAAGCATATTGTATTTCCTTCTAATGTATTTATAGCGCTAAAAGGAATTAACTAAACCAATAGCTCTCAGCTGAAAGTGGTTCACTATTTTAGATCAGTTGGTTTTTAATTTTTGATAGGTTCTTGTCTACATATAACCTTCATTAAGAAAATGGTTAAGATGGAGTAAAACACTAGTTAAAATATGGTTTAAAATGCAAGAAGGAGCAAAACAAAGATGATTTAATGAAACTGTAGATAGGAAAACGTGTCCTCACCTGTCCATCCATCACTCCCAACAAGGCAGATTCCATCCACTGTACAGGTTCAATGAAATATGACGTGCACTGAGCCTGACTCCCCGTGACGTGCGTGAAGGATGGTGACATTCTCTTGTGGGCAAAGGCTACAGGACCACTTCCTCCACTATGATCCAAAATGCTAGAACTTCGAAATAAAGATCGCCTGCAACCCCCAAACAATAACATCACTGACTTCCAAAGACATGATAAAATGGGCAGTATTTCTTAGAAGGCAAAATAATATAACACTGATTATGTTGTTCTAATTTCCGATAGCCTCTACAGGTAACCTGATTGCTTCTATTTCTAAGAATTTATATTATTCTTGAAAGCAGATTTGAAATGGAAATTTCTGTATTATCCAATTAAACAAATTCTCCCTACAGAGATTTAAGAAACTGAAACTTTCAGTACTTTCCTACAATGGAGACAAGATAGAGCTTCCAGAGGACGCAGAGTGTTTTACCTGCATTTTCTGCATTTGTAGAGAACCTCATCTTTCAGTCCTTGTGAACCGGTGGTTGGGTCAACAGCAAAGAGTTCTTGAGGTAAGCTCCGCAATTCTATGTGACAATCAAAACGTATATCAGCTCTCTGCGTTTTCAGACCAAATCTAGTTAATGCCAAGGCAACAAGTGCTAACCTCAATGACCAAAAACAAAAAATCCCGAGTGTCGAGAAATCAGAATGAGGCAGAGAACACCGTGACGAGGGCCTGAGTTCAAGTCTCATCCCACCGCTCACAACCCATGTGACCTTGAACAAGGTATTTCTTGCTAAACCACAGTTTCTGAAGGAAAGAACAGTACCTGTCTCAAGGGACTGCTAGAAAGTGAGATAATGCATCTGAAGTGTCTGCTGTCAGGGCCTGATACACACTAGCGATTACCACTCACCTGGATACTTCTCGGTAACCTTTTGTAAACGATATTGCTTATAAATTGCACTAGAGGTATCTACTTCACATCCCATGGCCTGGTATAATTTCAGTTGCCGCTCAAACTCCTCAATCATCCTGTAAAGACAAATAGATACAAAGTTAAGTTTTCTCCAAATAAATAAAATCACATCACAAAGGCAGAACTCTGACCCTACGGAGAACTCACTTGGCCTCAGGTTGGACAGTCCGAAGGTTTTCATAGGCTTTTTCAAAGGTAAGTTGGTCGGTCTTCATCATAAAAGCAGTCATTACTGCCACACTTCGACTGACTCCTGCGTGACTGAAAGAGAGACCTTTAAAATAAAATAGTAACGAGCGAAACTTTCAAAAACGAACAAAAACCCAGCCCCCATTAATGGTAAAATTTCAGCTCCACTCGTGTGTGCTGCTTCTACTCAAAAGCTTGGCCTCTGAATTACTACCGATGAACACACGAGTTCCTTTTGAATCCTGAACCATGTAAATGCATTACATATTCAAATATAATTGCACGAACTTTTTGAAATTTTATAATGGCTTCGGAACAGATACAAATTTCTTTGCTCTTGGCACGAAGGGGCCTGGAGATCTACTCCCAGACTTTCTTCTACTTTCTGTCCCTTACGTAAATGTTTAGAACAAGCGCGGGCGCACAGCAAGAGGGCTGACTCCATTGACCACTGTTACTCCACTACGACCCAGCCGAAAGCTCTCCTTAGGAATTCTCGAGAACCCGCCAAGGTTTTCCAGTCTTTCTGCTGTGCTACTACCTACCTGGCCTTTCTCCTGGGCATGGATGGGGATCCTGTGTGTCCCAACCCTTTTTCTCTTCCCGATTCTCCCCTTCATCAAGCACACCCCGCCCAGACAAATCGCTGAAAATAACCTGCCCTTCCTCCTCAGTCTGAACCCCTCCTCGGGGCGCCCCGCACCCCAGCCCACGTTACAACCGTCCGGGTGGGCGTCGGGCTTTAAGGTCTTCAGGTGCTGGGACTCTGTCATTTATCGAACGACCGCGCCCCGACGCCCCCCAAATAAAAAAACCACCCAGTGGGCGGCCGCGGCGGGGCGCCCTCACCAGTGCACCAGCACCGCGCGGCCCTCGGCGCGCGCCTGGCGGACGAAGGCCACGCACCGGTCCAGGTGGCTCAGCAGCTG